CAACACTTCCTTCTCCGTTTTTTCACCCTCAGATTGTCTGGAAGCACTTTTTACTGATTGCTCTTATCAAGTATCCCTAAAAACAGAAATATTAGTTGGCGTCAACACACACTACTGGAAATGTTGAGTTTTTTGAAAAACGATGTGTTAAAGTGAAAATATTGATTTTTACGGATAAAATCAAAATTTCAAAAGCATTCTAGAGTCTAGTAAGCTATGGCTTTGTAGTTTATTGCAGAAATAGCCAATCCATTTGTGCCAATTGTATCAGACAGCAAGTGCAGCACTCCTTGCTTCCTGAATCAGCCTGGCTCTCAAATTCACTCAGGTACGACTGAGTTTTTTTTTTTCGTCATCCAATACAAGTTACATGATTAAACTCCAGAATCTGTCATTCAAGATGAGGGCGCACAATCGCTTCACAGCTTGGATTTCATTAAGCAACAAGGATGTTTGCTAATCAGGAGATACCGTTCCCCACAACCACCTCCAGAATCTTTCAGATTTTTCCAGATTTCCAAGTTTTCCAAACCCAAATCCTTCAGACTTTTTTTTCCAAAGTTCCACACAGATACATATAAAAGGTTTTTGTCGCGTTTTATTTATTTTCTTATTCTTAAATTTAGAAAATTGTTGTTGTGTCTATTTACAAATATTTGAAGCCAGCATCAATAACTTACATTCTTCAAAGTTATCTGTCCATCGTTTGGCTGGTTCATCTTTCTTCGTTTTTTTTTCCAATATTTTTTAAGTTTTACCCCTTTCTACGTTTAAAATCATGATTAATTTTCATACGAATAAAATTTTATTTATTTTAGCAAGACCATAATCGCCTTACTAACGAGGCCCAGCTGTCAGAGTGTTGAATAAGAGTGTTTTAATGAGGCAAAATTCATCTAGTTTTTTCAATGTGAATATATAATGATCGATACTTTTATTAGAGAATTGAAATTCTGAGCTTTGATTTGGCATCGTTTTTTTTTTTGCTTCTTGAAAAAAATTCAGAAGTAGTGAATTTAGAGGCAATCCCAAGTGCTCCGACAGCCTCAGAATATCATCCAGTCAGTGCTGTTGCAAATCCGTCGGTGAACCAGCTGCCAGCTGTTTGTTTTATAAGTGGCGCTACATTTGGGCCTACTGCTGTCCATATCACTTGTCCGTTCTGCCATGTTCCAATAGTAACGCACATCCTGAGGCGTGCTGGATTGCTCGCTTGGTTGATATGTGGCGGCCTCGCACTTCTCGGGTTTGCTAATACTTTTCGCAAACCATTTTTTTTTTTTAATTTCTCAACCGATGTAATTTTTTCTACTCCTTTTCTTCTATTTTTCAGTTGCTGGATTTGCTGTGTTGTGCCGCTTTGTGTTTCTTCTTTTCAGGTACAATTTCAAATACATGCCTTCTGTTCTACTATTCGCGAGCCATAAATTGCAAAATTTCTGGAAATCATAAATTTGTTATTTAGCTAATCCTGAGAAAAAAGTGAAATTCTTGGCACCTTTTAAAAGCTTAAATTAGTTGTCTTCAGAAAAATAAATGTTAGCTGGATTTTTCTAGATAATTTCTCATTATCAAAGAGGCCAAAATTTGATTCTTATTATATTTCAATTTTCTTGGAAGGTAGGAAACGACAGGAACTGCTACAGAATCCAGTTGTCTGTAAACTAATGATAATAAGGCTGTCGATGGTTTCCTCCTCCAAGAACTGTTTAAAAGCGAGATGGAAGCGATTTTGCTTTTCTGATTAAAGCTTGGACCCAATTTACTATCGATATGAGTCGTAAACCGACAGACCAGAAGATTTGAATCATTAGAAAAGGGGACATGCTTTTCACAGAAAAATGAAGGCATCTAGTCTCTTGGCTCCTATAGAATTGGCGATACACTTCAGCTCAACAGTAGCAACAGGCAACTAATAGTGACGTGGCGCCAGTGGTAGGCCGTGCGTGAGATGCGGGCTCAAACGGCTGTGTTGGTTCCTGTGTGAGTGTATGTGGTGCATGTGGACGTGTGTTGAGGAGCCGAATGCATCCGAGCCCTGCTGTCGAAACGACGCTGAGATCCAGCTGATACTGGTTCGATCTAAGGTTCACTTATTTGGTATTCAGAAGCCAAACCTCCCTCCCTAATCACAAATGCTGCCGTGCGGGATAACAAACAAAATCCAGACAAAGCTGGGATATCACAACGGTGAAATCTAGCGTCGTCACATTGGACGGACGCTGCTTCTCTGAACATGTGTGAACGACCCGTAGCATCAACAAGCCCATTAAATCACCGATTTCCAATATCCTTTTCAACACCAATTTATACTTTCATTTGCCATCAAGGGAACATCTCGCCCCTCACAGTTAATTTTTCTTTCTGGCTTTACAGGACGTGGAGCATCATTGTCCAAACTGTAAGCGCTTGCTGGCAACGTACAGGCGGCTATGAAGTGAATTGTTTCAGCAGATATTAAAAGCAGTTGCTCACTACAGCCGGTTAAGTAAACATCTTAAACTGTTGATGGTGTTCCCGGATGATGTGACGACAGAAGCAGCAATGGCATTTTCCCGTGTTTTTTTTGCAGTCAAGAGCTTATCGTCCTTTGTGTGGAGTATACATAAAGATTTTATCGCTGTTTTTCTTGCAAATGGCAGTCAATTTAGTAGCTTTTTTTACAGGTAAATATATCCTGTAAACCACTTGCTTAAAAGTATACAAAAATACAAGTAGCGGATGCACCGAATGGTTTTTAGCGCCAAG